ACATTAGGTGTTCAATTCTTTGCATGATAATATTAGGATAGATTCTTCCCTCCTTAATCCCAACTTTAGGAGCACATTGCATGATAACATTAGGGTTGATTAGTTTCCCCTTAGAGTTTGTGTCTTCTCTTCTCATCTCATAATCTCTTAAGACACTTAATAAAAGATAATAAGTGTTGTACGCTACGAGCCTTAAGTACTTGAGGAATGATAGTTGGGGGGCCTCCTCTCAATCTGTCTAGAGTGTTTAGCATATGCCCTTTGGGAGATATGCGACGCATTCGCTCTCAAGTCATAGTCTTTAGTCCAACATGAGTTACAAACTTAACTCAATTCACTTCTTGTTTAAAAAACACAACACAAAACATCAAACCTTTTTATCCCTCGGGATTGCTTGAAAATCATTTTCAGAAAGAGTGTGTTAAATCTCAGTTCTACCGCAAACAGGTAACGCCTAAGTCTCCAATGATCTAGCAGCAATACACCTAACTGCTAGAACGAAGGTTTAAACCTACTCATTTAAAACACTTGAACCAATCTGTGGTCGTGTCAGCCCGAACTACGTTTGCTCTAATTTCTCATACTAGATGAGAATACGTAGGCATAAGACGACGATGTCTTGGTGAGCAACCTTCCCCCCTTTCACCCGTAGTTTTCCGAACTACGTTGACTCTGACTTTCCCATTGCAGGAGGGAATAAGTAGGCATGAAGCGGCGATGCTCTATCGAGTCTCTTTTCTTTTCTCTTGTCCCTGTGAGCCAGCTTTTGATAGATTAACACCCTTTTAGATAGACAACAAGCGCGGATCCCGTTGAGTACAACGGACGTGAGGGGTGCTCATACCTTCCCCTTGCGTAACCGACTCCCGAACCCAAGATTTGGTTGCAATGACCTGTCTTCTCCCTTTTTCGTAGGTTTTTTCTGATCGTTTCCTTTCCCTCTCTTTGGGATAAATAGCGAACGGTGGCGACTTTTTTGTCTTTGTCGGCCCCTTTTTCGCAATAGTGACACATATGGTTGTTGAACTTGCACATGTATCATTTGTTGTCAAGAGGCAATGCTTGTTAGTTCCGTAGGAACTAGTGACTTGTCCCAAACCTAGAGCAGGGTTTGAAAGCTTAAGGAATGAGCTTTTTATATGTTATCAGTCTAGGGAATGGATCTGGTTTAATGTAAAAACCAAAAAATAATAACAAATGGTTGATACCACATGCATGAGTATTACATTTAAGTCTTGCATTGAGTCATATTGTATCCATGAATGCAACATGAGATTATGTGCATTATGTGAATTTGATGAATTAATGAATTGACGAATTATGAAATTGTGGGTATGTACTTGTGAATAGTATGGTCACTTGAGTGATAATATGTTGATGAAGCTTTTGGAGTGTGAGAATAATTATGTTATGTTTGTATGCCATAAATTATCTACTATCTTATGATTTCGATAATTATGTGAATTCTCACCCTTCTTTTGGAATGATGTTTCGTACGACATTGCTCAGGTACAGAAGAGTCGAGTTTCTTCTAGCGCGAGGTAGCCGTTGGAGTAACTTGTTTTAGTTTCTCTATTTATTTTGGGTTGAATTATACTCTGATCATGTAACACTAAGAATGTTTTGATTCATGTCTTGAGAGATACTTTATGTACTCTATTTTATCTTGTTATTGTTATTTGAATTATGTGGAGTATCGACTTTTATGCCTAAGTGATGATTACGAATGAGTTGATCATGGGGCTTTCATTATGTTAATTTATGATCGAAGTAATTCCACTGCTACATGCTATGTGAAAGTATATGAAAAACATGAACTTATTTTAAGTGTTATTGAGCATGACTATATATATATATATATATATATATATATATATATATATATATATATATATATATATATATATATATATATATATATATATATATATATATATATATATATATATATATATATATATATATATATATATATATATATATATATATATATATATATATATATATTTCGTGGAGTTTAGAAGGATATTACACCTACCACAACTTGGTCCTTACTTTTTCTATGTTGCATCATTGTAATATGGCCACATTGGCTTTGTGCATTCAAGGTGTTTGGAAGGATGAAACTTTCATTCATTGTGTGAGAGATTGTATTGACTCTAAAAACCTGTGGTTGAACCTTTTTATCTTGGATTTGAAAGCTCCACCTCCTAGAGAAGATTAAGTTCTTGTTTATGATCATCTACCACAACTCGGTCCTTACTTTTTCAATGTTGCATCATCGTAATATGACCACATTGGCTTTGTACATTTGATGTGTTTGGGAGGATGAAACTTTCATTCATTGTGTGAGAGATTGTATTAACTCCAAAAACCTATTGTTGAACCTTATTATTATTTTTTTTTCATAATCCAAGATGATAACAATTCGCTAAAAATGACATATTATAAGTTCACTACAATCTTTTTGTTGTAAGAATATACTGGGCCTGAATGAATGAAAATTCTACTTGCATCACCCAAAAAAATATTATGTTATATCACCTTTTCCTGACTACTCACAACACGACGATCCCTTCATCTATTGCTTCAATAAAACTCATCATGTGCACTAAGAGGAGAGACTCGTCAAATGGAACTCTCTCAACTTCTCTCACATTATCATCAACGTTGATGAAAGTCTAGTTAATATTTCTACCTTACGTCATTTATGACATAATCATTTGCAACTCCTATAATGTTTGATAGAAAGACTTTTTAAACTCCGTCCAAGGAACATTTGATATCTTCTAGAAAGAACTCCATGCCATCCATAAAAAACTTTCCGTTGCAAAAAGGAGATAAACTTCATCAACTCAATTAGTACACAAATTCTTTTTTTTTTTTTATCACCTTAATTAGGACCCTAATCAACAAATACCACTTATGTGTTGTTTTCATTCAGGACATCAATAAATTACTATAAAAGAATGACCAATTCAAAATCACTCTCACTCTCTTAAAAAAAATCAATGTACCATTTTTAAGGTGAAATTTATCTTTTTTCCAAACCAAAACTTCCATATTTACTCTCAACCTTTGAAGATTATTCTTTTTCATGCTCCTCATGTAACAACATTCTTTTAAGAGTTTAGTCTATTTGTTTTTTCTTTTCACCTTTTATTTTAGCTCTGTATAATCAAAAAAATAATTTTTATTCTTTATTCTTTGGCACTTTTTTTTAATAAATTTATTTATTTTATTTGAAAAGGGTTATTATTAAACAAAAGGAAAGAGAATGAAAATATCAAGATACATGGTCGGTGATACGGCCGAGTCTGTATCTTCTCTCTTCAACACCACCCTAAACCCTAATTCCAAAATTCAACAAATTATCCCAATTCTTCTCCTCCTTCTTCGTTTCTCTGCTCAAACCCACACACCGTGACGTAACCTCTCTCTTTATCTCTACGCTTTGTCACATCGCAGCTTGTTCACTGGTTTTGGTTTTGCGTTCCCACTGGTTACGGAGAATCGCTCTCATCGATTGTTTCTCCTGCACTGAAACTGAACTTCAGTTTCGCTTTTTGCTACAGGTAACTGTTAAGTTTCCAATATTCATCGGTGGCCATGGCTTAAACGCCTTTTGCTCCTGTAATTTTCAGCTTGTTAAGTTATTTTTCTTTCAATTTTTTAATTTTGGTAACTAAGCTAGTGTTTGCTTTCACTTTTTTTTTTTTAATTCATGTTTAGTTTTATATATTGATATGGACCAAAATTTTGTTTGTTTTTTTTTTTTTTTTTTAATTTTTTTGTATGATTGGTAATTTATGAGTGGCATATGGAACAATAGTTTGATAAGGTTTATTAAGGAAAAGATGAATAGTTAATATTGATGTGAAGTTCCTTGTTGTATACATGTTCATATATAAGTGAATGATTGTGTTATAACAAAATAAGTGATATTTGTACCAATTTTTTTGTGAGAATAAATTGGCCAAATGTGAGATTGGTTGACATCATAAGTTTCATATTATAGCCACAAGGACCATTTAAAGAGCGTATTTGGACTTATTGTATAATCATCTGCGCAAGTGTTTGGAAAATGGAAGAGCTAATGCAAATAGATTATGATATTTTTACTAGCTGCCTTGAGCTTATTTTTTTAAGCATTGTTAAATAGCTTGTTAAAAGAACTTACTCAGATCTTATGTAATGTTTAATCCTGTAAGCTCTTCAATGGTGGGAATAACTTTTGCCCTCATTTTTTCATGGGGCGGGCCTAGGTTTTAGGCCCGGACCCTCTATTATGCATGCCCTGCCCTGCTTTTTTGCAAACTTTTGCGGGTGTGGACATTAATATAAATTTTCGTAACTTTTAGGCTTTCAAGGTGCAGGGCTCCCCCTCTTTTTTGTTTTGTTTTGTTTTGGGCGGACCAAGGTTTTAGGCCCGCAGCCTCTACTATGCCCACACCGCCCCCACACTGTTTTTTAGCCGGCTTTTGCGGGGCGGGTCTAAACGAGTCGGGTTGCCGTTTGCCATCCCTAATTAGTGCTCATTAAATAAGTGCTTATTCAGAAGTTTCGTTTTTGTAAACACCTAGTGCACACAATGTTATCAAATTGCAGCACAGTGGCTGCTATGGCAGTTATACATGGTGGGTTTTTGGGCTTACTGCAATGGTAAATAGCGACCGATATTGCGCATTTTTCTGCCAGAATTCGCTATAGCGGCGCTGCAAAGCGGCCGGTATGGCGGGATTTTGTCTCTCTGCCATGGACTGCCATCCGCCATCAACAACACTGAGTGCACATTCATTTATTTATATCTAGATTAAAATAAAGAAAAAATTGTAACATAGTTGGGAGTTATTTTATTTATCTTGCAAATTAGTGATTTGTGTATTTATTATTTGTTTTTCATAAGTGTACTTATTCGACAGGGAACCGTTGGATATTAGAGTCGTGATCATTGCATTGTGAAACTTGTATAAATATATTTCAAAACCAGCTTTCTGTTCATGGCTGGATTGTTGCTTGGTGATGCCTCTCAACAAGGAGCACATCAAGTTGGTTCTCAAAGATACTCTGAAGAGAAGCCAGAGGATGGATCAAGATGGTATTTTTCTAGGAAGGAGATTGAAGAAAATTCACCATCCCAAGGAGACGGCATAGATTTGAAGAAAGAAACATACCTACGCAAATCATACTGTACATTTCTGCAAGATTTAGGCATGAGACTTAAAGTGTGAGTTTTATTAGTAGCCTTAGACATGTGCATCATTGCAAGTATTCTTGGTTTCTCTGTATTTTATGTACCTTTATCTGCAAATTATTTTTAAAATTGTACTTAAGGTAAGATTATTTTATATGTGATTTGTTTCTTTATTGGAGCTCATTAGGATTATTGTAATGAGTTAACGTGTGTATAGATTATATTTCTAGAAATTTATGGAAAGGTTTGTTTCTTATCATATTAAAGTTACTGATAAATGGCGACAGAGTTACTATATATCCTTATGTTGATACTGATTTAAATCTGATGCAGACCTCAAGTAACTATTGCAACAGCAATAATATTTTGCCATAGATTCTTTCTGCGGCAGTCCCATGCAAAGAATGACAGGAGGGTGAGTCTGTATTTTGTTATTCAAATTCACACATTTTATGGGGTTAATTGTTATCTGATTGAAGTATGAATAAATTTTATGCATATCCATTTTTGGCTGTATAATTAATATAGATTGTTGGGTATTTTGTTATGATAATTCCATTCGGTAGAAGCTGTGTATTTTGTAGGCTACTGTGAAATGGAAGGGAGTATGTTATAGTGTATGCTATGCAATGATTGGCATAATCCTGGCGAAGAGTTAGTCTATCTATGGGTAGTTTTGTTGCTAGCAGTTGAATATAGAAGTTGTGGCAATCAGCCAGTTTTTTGGTTAATGTTTAGCTTGTTTTTATATTGGTCTTGGACTTATATTTGAACTTTAATATTTGATCTTTATTTTATTGCAATTTCACATTAGAAGCATAATGCTACATTGTTGAGGGACATTACTATGAGAATATCATATTTTCTTTCTTCAGTCATCCAATTAACTGTTAGTTTTAACCTAGGCCTAGTGAGCTAATCACCGTCCTACCCGACCTTATGGATCTGAGCACAATTGTTAACGTTGTGCAATTTACTGATCCTGTGCTCATAAAATCACAATGTGGTTTGGTTGATTAGAGTAGGATTCCGGTGACAACTCAAACTCATGAGATCAGTGAGCTTCACTAGTTGGATTGTTGCAGATTATTCTGCTGATGAAATAACAATATCGTATTTTGTTTGATATTTTTCTACTACTTCCATCATCTGGGTTAATCTGTAGGCACTAATCATTGAAGTTTGATGTGAATGACTATTTAGCTAATTATGTATCGAAACTGTGTACATAGTGGTATGATTGATTTTATTGTCTTAATATTTTGTGCATCTTGGGTGATGATGATTATAAATTATTTTCATGTTAAACCAATGGATTGATACTTATTTTTTTATAAGCTTGTACCTCGTAGCATATCAGGTTAGAAATAACTATTATGAATCTAGTTTAATGACTTTACTTAAAATATGATTATTGTTAGCTCTCAGAATTTGGGTTGGGCCTAACTCATCCCTACAAAACCGGCTTGTAAGGTGAGGATTGCCCCCACTTATAAACACAACACAGGCCATATCTCTAAGCAATGTGGGACTAAATCCACCCCTTCAAAGTCAACACAATGAAGGTGTTAGGGGCTGCAATGAAGGCAAGCCAAAGTGCTCTAGTTAAGGCGACTAGAGGCGGACTGCAATTAAGGCGGAAAGTCCAACATTAGCTAAACATAAATTGCATTTGTAGAATTGTTTTATGTCGGCCATCAGCCTACTTCATACTCTGTCATTTGTTCGAGTTTTTGTTGTGCCATGTACACATTGTTTTATGCTTTTGTTATATTGTTATGAACAAAAATTCTACAGCCGATATTTCTTGTTTTTGTTTATATTGTATTCCTTTTTCTTTATTTAGCAAACGGATGGACCTACTGTCATCTTTATCTCCTATCTGTTAGGCTTTCCTATTTTTTTCAGCAATTATTTGAGACCACGGACATGTACTTCCGTCAATGATCTCTGTCAGAATGCATAGTCATCAATTATTTTTTTTTTTATCTTCACAAGATGCATAGTCAATTATATGTAGGATGAAATGTTAAGTTAACATGGTAATAATTAATTACTTGCAATGTTTTGCAGACCATTGCAACAGTGTGCATGTTTCTTGCTGGCAAGGTTGAAGAAACTCCCCGCCCATTGAAAGATGTGATCCTTGTTTCATACGAAATTATAAATAAGAAAGATCCGACAGCAGTTCAGAGAATCAAACAGAAGGTATGCAACTTATTATGTCCCAATGTTACAAACCCACAATTAAGAATTGAATAATAGGAAGAAAGATAGAAAGAAATAGGGTGAATCCATGAATAGTAACTGTGATAAGGATGGGCTCCTCTAAATGAGGGGTTACTTTAGAGGTTAAAGTACAGAATTGTAACCACTGCAGTTAATTGTCTGGATTTAAACGACTTCATAATTTGTTTTCTATGTGCATATTCTAACTACAATCTCAAGTGTTGTCTTTTTCAATTAATGGTTATTATTGTTTCTTTGCCTACTATCCTAATGCCGCCCCCTTTGAAAATCCATCTTCACTTCAAGATGGAAAATTGGGGATTCCCGCTGGTCATCTCCCCACCATGCTTCACCACTTGACTCTTGATAGAGCCCAAGCTGAGGCGATCGGCCCAAATGAGGGTTCGGTTCAGCAATTGTCATGTGGTTATAGGTGTACAGTACACCAAGAGAGAAAAAGGGAGAGTGGGCGAAGAATGAAGTGAGGTAATGCGTGAAATGCTGCGCAAGCAGTAAGAGAATAAAATAGGAAATCATGAGGGGAATTCGGCTCACATGATCCGAAGAGTTCTGTGGGAGTAGGAATTCATTTCCTCTGTAAATCCTCATTTACGTAGTCTTATTCCATTGATTCTTTACTGTTTGATTTATTTTTTGCATCGTTAGTCCTTAACAACTCTAGATAGTTTTTCCATCCTCAACCACTTGTCTGTTGCACTCATCTGTTTCCTCTGCTTATGTATCATGTCAATTTTGCCGACCCCTGCATGAAAAGAACTAGGTGCCCGTTTAATTGTCTGCACCTGAAAAGTTTTTCATCTCAAGTGTTGTCTTTTTCAATTAGTGGTTATTATTGTTTCTTTGCCTACTATCCTAATGCCGCCCCCTTTGAAAATCCATCTTCACTTCAAGATGGAAAATTGGGGATTCCCGCTGGTCATCTCCCCACCATGCTTCACCACTTGACTCTTGATAGAGCCCAAGCTGAGGCGATCGGCCCAAATGAGGTTTCGGTTCAGCAATTGTCATGTGGTTATAGGTGTACAGTACACCAAGAGAGAAAAAGGGAGAGTGGGCGAAGAATGAAGCGAGGTAATGCGTGAAATGCTGCGCAAGCAGTAAGAGAATAAAATAGGAAATCATGAGGAGAATTCGGCTCACATGATCCGAAGAGTTCTGTGGGAGTAGGAATTCATTTCCTCTGTAAATCCTCATTTACGTAGTCTTATTCCATTGCTTCTTTACTGTTTGATTTATTTTTTGCATCGTGAGTCCTTAACAACTCTAGATAGTTTTTCCATCCTCAACCACTTGTCTGTTGCACTCATCTGTTTCCTCTGCTCATTTATCATGTCAATTTTGCTGACCCCTGCATGAGAAGAACTAGTGTGCCCGTTTAATTGTCTGCACCTGAAAAGTTTTTCATCTCAAGCAATCCAGCCTAGAAGATATTTTCCTTTGAAACTCGGAAGTTCCACCTTCTTTGCCCATTATTGGTACTCCTTGTTACTATTCGTGCTGGCGCTACCATCTCCTCCCTGTTTTTCAACTTTCTTACCATCTCTCCCAAGTTTCGTAGTCTATATTCTCCTTTCGTGTCCTTATGCAAGTTGTTTGACATTATCTATTGCAGCCACATTCTTCTTGACTTCATAGAGATGAATGCTGTGTTTGCAGGCCTGCTTCTTTAGAAGTTCTATTTATGTTTCCAAGTTTCAATACTTGACTCAATAGCTGATTATTCAAGATGAGAATTCTCATCCTAGGGTTTCTCCTTCGCAAAGGGTTTCCTCTCTCACACAAGCTATATAATTTTCTAAATCTCTTTTCTCTCTTTCCTGATTTCTGTAACTGTTACGCCACCTAGGTAACTAACAAACTTCACTATCTGCTCCTAACTGATATGTAGAAATGAACAAATTAAACAGTTACGAGACCTTGATCGCAACCATATCAAATCATTTTTAAAAAAAATCAGCAATTTGCAAATAAAAAAATAAATTCGCCCATTTCCTTTTTTATTAATTTTTTTATGATAGTTGGATTATCTGATTTTTTAAACCTGACTGGTGAAATTGAGGTCCAAATCCAAACTTGGTTGTCTGATTTTTAGTCTCTATTGCTACTCTCTGTTCCCCTAGTTCTACTATTCTTGCTGAATTGCACTACTCTCCATTGCAGTCTGAAGTCAAAATTTAAAACTCTAATTCTAATTTGAATCTTATTCACGGTCAAGATTTTTTTCACTCCAGTTTCATTTTCCCATTCCCACACCTTTAGATTTTGCAACCCCAAATCCGGCAGCAGCACTCATAGCGCTCTTCCTTGTTTGTTTTCTAGCAAACTTTCCAGGAAGAGGCTGGAGTTAGAGAAGCTCTGGCCATATCTTGGCGCAGAGGACTCATGAGGTCTGTTTGCGAGTTGGTTTTTGAAGGGAAGGGCTTTGGAAGACTACGTCTTTATTTTGATATATATTTGAAATTTATAAAAAAAATTAAAAAAACAATATAATATAATACATGGCATATAATATCACATCGTTTTTAAAATATCAAAGATATCAAGATATAGACGTAACCCTTCAAAGCCTTTCCCTCCAAAAAACCTACTCACAAATAGATGCTTGATGTTGTGGTCAGTGAAGTGGGAGTTGCGCATAGCCTGGAGATTTGGGGTGTGCATGGTTTACCACATCATGTAAACCATATTTCAAAAAATCGGTTTGAAAATTGTGAACCGGTATCAAACTGGTTCGGAACCGGATTACATGCATGATGCTTCAGAAGTTCATTTTTTTATATGGTTTTAAAATCTACCGTTTTATATAAAAGTAAGAAATCATGTTTTTTACAATTACAAAAACGTATCACTTGAAAAAACACCATTTAAATTTCGTGCTTGAATACAATATTTATTAGAAGAAATAAAAATCAAGTTTTGTTTCTTAATAAGAGGCTAACAGATACAGCAAATGGTAACTCACAGATCTAGAAAATTGATTTATCTGAATATTTCAAAAATCAATTTGGTTTATATATAGGATGGGGAGAGTTTGAGGAGAATAGAAAAGACAAAAAATGTTGAGAGGTGTTTTAATTTGGTTTAAAGAATATAGATCTAAGATTTGCTATTTTAACAATATTGATGGTAGGTCTAGATCAACAAAAATACTTTTCCATTCAAAAAATTGTGAAGCATGAAAAAACGAAAATAAAAGGGGAAAATAGTTTTTAACAATATGGGTCTTTTAATGGGTAACCGGTTTTCTAAAATGGAATGTTGGTTTTTATTTATTTTTTATCAATTTGGTTATGGGTCAGTTTTCTTTGAAATAGTTTAGGCTTTTTAAATTGGTTCACTGCATTTTTTTAAATGGTTCTGCTAAACTAGTTTTTTTCACACCCCTACTAAAGGTAGGTGTATGCAAGGCCAAGGAATTCTAGTCCGTGTGGTGTGTGGCATTGGTGTGGCATACAATATATTTACTGGTGAGGGGGGAATGGAGTGGAGGATGGAAGAGTACAACTAGTGATGGGCTGAAACAAGGATGGGTTTTCTGATTTCTTCATTTGGATAATGAAGGATCCTGAGGTGTATAGTTCCGATGAATAGGGTACAAGATGAACTAGAAAAACATGATCAGTTTTTGAGGTAGTGGGAGGATTGATGGAACTGAATTGGTAATCAAATTTTGGACAACTGGTTTTGAAATTGGATTTGGTACCGGTTCAGAGGGGAATGCGGTTTGTTTTTGAAATCCAATATAGATGAATGGGTTTGACCCGAGTCCTTTTCTTCCTTAAAATCCTTCAACCCTTGGCTTAAACGAGTTGAGCTAGTCCCTGTTATCAACAACTTTATCTTGACTAGTTGATTTCTCAAACTGTTCCCTTACCTCCTATTAACACCTCTGTTTTTATATTATCAAGCGATCTCTACTCCCCGCGTTGAACGATAACTGTCTGTTGATACTGTTTGTTGTCCGGTTGTTTGATTTAGGGGCTGTGGTAAATATCATTTTTCATGATTAACTTCCACCTAACACCCATTGTAGTGGAAATGTTTACATTTCTGTCCTGTAATATATTTATCTCTGTTGCCAGGAGGCTTGTGTAGGCCAAAAATGATTTACAAGTTATATCCAGATTGAGTTTAATCTTTTTTTGTTTGTTTTGTTTAACCTACAGTGAATTTCATATTTTTTTAAATTTTTTATTTCTTCCTACCTCAAGTTATATTAATTTTTCTCACATAATTAATTTTTTTATCTTGCAAAAATAGCAAAGGAAGTTTATCTGGATTTATTGTTTTTATAACCGAAAGTTAATTTCTTTCAAAACCAAATTTCTTTTGAAGTTTACATTTTCTTCGTACCTCCTGTAATGTAAATTTTTCTCATGCAATTTTTTGGACATGCAAAAATGGAACAGGAAGTGTATGAGCAGCAGAAGGAGTTAATTCTACTTGCAGAGAGGGTTGTTCTTGCAACTCTTGGTTTTGATTTTAACGTGCACCATCCTTATAAACCTCTTGTTGAGGCAATAAAGAAATTTAAAGTTGCTCAAAATGCCCTTGCTCAAGTTGCTTGGAATTTCGTAAATGATGGGTATGAATCGTATGATGTTTACACCATTTTTGTTATGGCCAATGATGGCCTTGTGAATTTCCTTTCCTGAAATTAGGGTGTGACATGCGCAGACTTCGGACATCTCTTTGCTTGCAATTTAAGCCCCATCACATTGCAGCTGGAGCTATATTCCTTGCTGCCAAGTTTCTAAAGGTGAAGCTCCCATCAGATGGGGAGAAGGTCTGGTGGCAAGAGTTTGATGTCACCCCACGCCAATTGGAGGGTTGGTGTCTTTTTTTTCGATATTAGTGGTATAAAGAAATAAGAAACAAAAGTACCAACTCATCATCATTTATCTTTTTTTGTCTTCTAATTCTTGTTTCATATTTCCCTCTTTTTGGAGTGTGGTGATATCTTTAGTATATTCTAGTATTAGAGTAGATTATTACAGTCATGTCAGCATTGAGTAACAAAGTTATTTATACTTTTTTTATTTCAATGCAACACCCAATGTTTACCTACTTCTTGCAGAAGTAAGTAACCAAATGCTCGAGCTGTATGAACAAAATCGAATGCCGCCTTCCAATGATGCTGAAGGAACTCCAGGAGGTGCAGCTTCCAACCGGAGCTCTGTAAAAGCTCCAACTAGTAATGATGAAACTGCAGCTGCAAACAGTAATTCCCAGACCGGAGGCACAAGTTTTAGACCTGAAACGTCAAAGCCTTCATCTTCTAAGACCATGTTTGATTCATCTGGCGCTAATCAGGTTGGACGCCCCGTCTCAAATCCTGGTAGAAGCAGTGATTACGGGGCTGTAGAAATGAAGCACCGGGTGGAAGATGATGTCAAAGTTAATCAACACCCTGAGCAGGAACCTCTTCCTTATAAGGAAAACATTCAGCAAATTCAAGATGCAGTGAGATCTCGATCTGATAACGGCGAGAGAGAGCTAGAAAACAATTTTCATAGAACTGAAACTAAAGAGCACGGTGAATTGAGAGATAAACATAACAGCAGAAACTCAGATCACAGGGATAGTATACTCAACCGGCCTCCTCAAGAAGCCATAAAAAAAATTGATAGAGACAAGGTAAAGGCTGCATTAGAAAAACGAAGGAAAGCAGCTGGTCATATAACCAAAAAAACAGATATCATGGATGATGATGATCTCATTGAGAAGGAACTAGAAGATGGAATAGAACTAGCTCCTCAGAGTGAGAAGAGTAAACAAGATAGAAGGCAAAACTGGTCTAAGCTCTCAGCAGATAGATCAGATTATGAAAACACGCATGTGAGACACCAAGATCATGCAGACGAGCAACCTCATGGAGTAAAGAGTCTTCCATCACGCGAACCAGATCCAACTGCAGTGGAAGAAGGTGAGGTGTCAGCTTTTGAAGACGTCAGCATAGGTATTTCGTCACCCAAGTCAAGCCACCGCAAGAGGAAAGCAGGAAGCTCACCTGATAGAGTGGCGGAGGGGAAACAGCGACATAATTACGGCCCTGGATCTCACCACAATAATCGTTCTGATTATGTTGACGAGCGGAGTAAGGTTAGCAGGCTAAGCCACACTGAGAGAGACAGCAAAAGGCACGCACAGGAAAACCATGTCTGAACATGGAGAAGTTATTATTCTGAAATATTTTCTGGTCATAATAGACTCCTTACCTGTCAATGTCACTCTGATAGAGGAATTTTACATGTTGTAAGGACTTGAAAACAAATTCAATTTAATTGGAAGGACTAATGTCATTTCCTCAATTTATGGACATTTGGGAAAAACTGTATCATAGAAGGTAAGTGTTATAATATATTAGAGTGAGACTTGTAATGCAAGGTCTATTTTCCCACATGATCCTTGTTTTTGATGATAAATTCATGTGAAATAATTGTAGTAGTTAGGATGATTATAAATTCTGATTTTGTATGACGTTTAGTGTGAAGCTCGTTTGTGTGATAAGATAAACTCATGCTTATTTGATTTCATAGAAAACTATTTTATACTAGTCTTAGTTAAGTCTTTTTAAATGTGGTCTTATTTACTTTATTAAAAAAAAATAAAAAAATAAAAATCATTATTATGATTATTTTTTTAATTTTCATCTTTAAAGATGTTTATTTTAACTTAATAATTATAATAAGATGTAACACTCTTAAATGAAATGCTTGTCATAGAGATGATGTATTTTTTAGGAATAATTAAAACAATTCTTAACATATTTTATTGTTTGTAAATAAAATATATGATTTTTCATTTGAAGAGTCTGTTTACTTTCTAGGAAAGTCTCCTAATAAATAAATAAAATTAATACATAGTTTAAGTAATAAAATAAAGATGTTTTTATTAAGTAGCAATACTTTAATTTTTGTTTTGTTTTGATAATCAAAGTTTAGTTAATAATAATTCCACCATTCTCCCGAGTGAGTTTCTAGAAATGTCTTTTATATTTTAATTTTTAATTTAAATAATTTGTTGGTGTAAATTGTCATGATAAAAAACAATGGAAGCAAAATAAAAAACACGCTAAAACTTTTGTATTTAAGCTTAATTTTTTTATTTTTCTTATCGGTCTAAATGTTACCATTTAAAATGATTTAGGCTTCCAGATTTATTTTTGGTCAACTGGATTCTCAATATTTAAAAGCTAGCCTATGGCAACAACAACAACAACATTTATATTATCACAAATTAAGAAATTGACTTTGCCAGAGCTGTAATATATATTTTTTAATTCATAGGATTATATTCTCCACTTGTTGAATTATAAATATTTTCTGACAAATTCAAAATTTAGAATTTTTAAAACAGTTCATTTTCAGGAAAATTAAAATTTAACTTTTACTTAATATATTTTTAATCATGTAATTTTAAAATTTCAGTTCTCCATAAATGTGAACCAAATTGTGAATTGTTTTTTTATTAGGAAGTAGGGTAATATAAGTAGCATGAATCATATGGGTTGGAAAACAAGTCGAAAAGGAGAGAATTTATCCCTCCAATCTCAAATTTGACGAGATTTTAACCCTTAAATTACATGTGACATTCCATATTTTTGTATTGTCAAAATTGTCTCAGACTATAGTTGTTTAAATTTTTGTTTCAAATTTTCAGTAGGCTAAATAAAATTTCTGGTATAATGAAAATTTTATGTTTTAATAAATTATGGAAATTCAAAATTTATAAATTGATACCAGAAAATTTAACTTAAGTAAAATTTTCAGTAGTATTATTTGTTTGATTTTTTAAACGTTCAGGATTTTGCAGACAATTTTGAATAGCTATGATTGCACCGACAATTTTGCGTGGTCCGAAGTAAATGCTAAGTTATATAAATAAGGGGTCACATGTTGTTCTATAAAAAACATTTTAAAAAACGCCTCTTCCTTAATTTTTGATTAAGACAGAAATGTATTTCAACAAAGTTTCACCTCCTGTAGAGTTTTGGCTTCCGGATGACATCACATCTCTTGTTGGTTTGACGTCTAAGTTGAATGAATTGTTACCTGATGTCAGAAAGAGAAAGGTGAGAAAGATCGAGTTTCGTGAGGGTTGAATTGATATTGACGGGAGGGTGAAAACAACCTTATTGAGTTGAAGACCGGCGAAGATGTGGAGATCATTTTGTCGTAGAATAACAAAAGGGTCAATCGAGTTAGATGCTAAGATTTTAAGATCTGTTGACGATATAATGAAGATGTTGAAACGTCCAAAATTATTTGGTAGTGTTTGAAGGTGAGAAAATACTTAGAAGGGGGGTTAAATAAGTATGAAGATAAAAACTTAGAAATAAATACTCAAGTATTTTTATCATGGTTCGTTGAACTCAACTACTCCAGTCCACCCTTTCTAGAGTGATTTGCCTTTCTCAAACAAGGACTTAATCCACTATTTAATCAACTGATTACAATAGTAAGCACTAAGAACAACTGTTCAAAGTCTTCTCAAGAACTACTGATCATAACTGGATCTTCTTAAGGTTTTCTTACAATCAAATGTAATAACAAATACAAGTATTAAAATGCTTCTAATAAAGCTTTATCACAACTGTGATTTTTCACTTAAGATTAAGAACAAAGAAATTAATTCTAGAAAGAATATGTGAGTTTGTATGAGAGCTTTGATAATGATTTCTTTTCAAGTAATGCGTCAACTAAAGAAGATGAGTGGAGACTTGCTTTTATAGGCACAGTGATCCAAGAGTATTTCACGTTGAGAAGTGTGTACCAAAAGGTCGGAGTTTTTTGTCTTCACATCAAGTGACCTTTCCTAGAAGTAGAAAGCACAGAGAAATCCTTTTTGTCTGTGTTCTTGTGTCTAGCATAAATAAGGAAAGAGTCGTTTGGATATTCCAACGGACATAATCTTTGAATTCTTCTTCAATAATTTTCAGCAAGAATCATCAGAGTCTAATTTGATCAGAGCCTTCTGATGTTGATCAGAGTTTTGCTGAATCAGAGTCTTTGCAGCAAGTGTGCTTTTAGCGTGTATAAGTTCAGAGCAGAGTTTTGAGTCAGATCATCAGTACCGGCAGCGTTAGTACTCTCAGAGTCTTCTGAATTAACTATGTTTGTAAAACTCTTCATACAGAATTCTTCATTGGTTCAGATGCTTCTGACTTGCTTCATATTCTTCTGGAGCTTCTGCTTCAGATCCTTCTGGAGACAACGCTCAGGATCTTCTGATGGCAGCGTTCAGAATCTTCTAATGGGTGCATCTGACGCTTCAGAGTCTAGCATATTTCTTATGTTCAGATCTGATTTGCTTCTGGAGTGATATTTACTTTAACATCTGCAGCAAGCATTCTTAAGCAAATTTTAGAGTATATAATTCTTAATTACAAAATTTCATAATAGTTATCATCAAAACATAGAGATATTATTAAGAACCAATCTGTGTTCTAACAATCTCCCCCTTTTTGATGATGACAAAAACATCAGAAATTTTGTTTAATTGAAAATAGAATAATTATAACTCCCCCTGAGATGATGAATCTCCCCCTGAATTAAATATAAATAAGGAATAGAAACTTTCCTTTTTATCTTGAGTATTTTTCAGAGTTAGAGCTTGATTTTTCTAAACATTTGAGAGTCAGAGTTTCTTGCATATTTCAGAGTCAGAGTCTGATAAGTTGAATATGATTTGGGAGTCTCAGAGTTTCTTTTACAGAGTATACTTATCAAATGTTCTGAAACACTCAGATTTTATGTTAGATAAAATTGATATGTCTGAAGTTTCATTCTGGTAAAGTTTAATTAAACAGTTCAGATCTATTTTCTCCCCCTTTTTTGTCATAAGCAAAAAGTAAGAACTTTGAAAAGACAAATAAAAGGAAAAACAAACGACATAAATCATGTGGAGAAAACTCTGAAACATTCATTCATTCAGAGCAAAAAGTACAATCATCAGAAAATATTCAAGTACATGTGCAAACATTAGATGCAAACTATAGAAAAAAAAAATAAATTAAGATTGTTTTGACAAAATCATCTTCAACAGATCCGTGATCTCAGAAGAGGAATGTTCTTATTTTGACATCCACTTAGCCATGGTTTCATTCTTCTGATCTTGTTTGGACATCCACTGAGCCATGTCTTCAGACTTCTTATCTTGTTTAGCCATCCATGACTTGATTTCTGATTGACCAGCTTCCAGAACTACAATCTTATCTTCAAGATCTGGATACTCTTCCTTGATCTCAGATGAAGAAGGTGGGACCGTTTCTGAAGCTTGAACAGAGTCAATTTTCATAGGGGCTTTGGAGTTAGGAGCAGTAGATCCAGAAGAATGTTCTACCAGAGTCACAGCCAGAGGGTTGTCTTCAGATGCAGATTCAGTATTCTCTTCTGATGATGAAGGAGCATCTGTAAGAAGCAATGGTCCAGATTTTTTAACAGTCCAGAACAGACTTCTAGCAGTTTCAGCAAATCTGAGCTTCGCATCATCAGAACATACGTTCTTCAGATTTGATGCTACAATATTGAATCTGTTTATGAAGCCATTCCAAATGGCATCAGATTCACTTGCATCCATTGTTGATGAACACTTCCTCTGTACAGATCCTAAATACATCTGTATTTCTTGCAAAAAACTTGTAAATAAATGATCAACATTCAGTCTAGGTTTTGGGTTTAGAAGAGTTTCCAAAGTTATTGGCTTGGGTTGGGGAGTAGGTGGAAAGATGGATTTTTGAATGGTGATCAGAGGAGGAGGGTAGTAGGGTATGAATGGAAGTTCAGGTGATTTGTCAGGTTTTGATTTGGTTAAAGCATTCAACAGATTTGGTTTTGCATTTGTTGGATAGGAAACAACATCAAATGGTTTATCAGAGTAAGGTTTGAATGCAGATTTAACACGTTTATCAGACTTAGCAGATTTTTAGCAGAGTATGGTTTTGCTTCTGATGAAATTACTGCTGGCAGATTTTTGATATACGTTTGAAGAACAGATGGTAGAATGATGGTAAGTTTGGGTTTAAAAGGAGTGATAGTGTCAGATGGTTCAATTCTGGTGTAGAAATTTTTTAAGGTGAAACCAGAGGGAAGTTTGTTAGAGGAAAATAGTTTGCACGAAGCAGAAGGTACATTCTCAGATGTTCTTGGCTTGGATGTAGAGGT